AAAAAAACACTAAGTATGGCCACTCAGCACCATGTAAGTACACATGTGACTATACACCTGGGCATACATACATGTTGACAAAGAAACTGGAACTATCAGAGGGAGCCAGTATGTAACTTTTATCACTGCCATTCTACCTTAAGATAGGAACGGAGAGATAGCCACATTTTTATATTCTGTACTTTCTTCAATCGGAAATGAGGAACCTCAGATTTTCGAGCCCTCCTTGCAGATGTTAAATGTCCAAAGAGTTTTGCAAAAAGTAGTCGCTGAAAAGGATTAAGATGAGGATTAATTTTCAAGCAGATTACCACAGAAAAACAAAAGTCAACAAATTAAGGGTTGTTACAATTATATTTGGTTAACTAATATAAAAACAAAGCCGGAAAAAAAATAGCAGGTCAAAATGATTTAACAAAATACTAAAATGCTTTGTGAATACTTTGAAAAATATGAAAAGGATAAAATATAGTCTACTCAGAATATTATTATACCCACCTGTTTATAAGTTCTTTCTGCTACACAGAGCAAAAAAAAGAAAATCCAAACAAGCGACACACGAACCACGAAACTTATTATAACCATAGAAAAAACTATGACATCTTCATTAGAACCGAATGCAATCACGTAAAGTTCTGAAGCAGAATGTGCTGTGAGTTGTTCCAAGTCTGTAGCTTGGGAGAGTCGGAAAACAAATGGAGTTAAACCCAGGATTAGAGAGATTGCGTTCCCAAAAATCTGGTATCCTATTCCTGGTATATGGCTGTTGACCTTTACAAAAAGAGAGACAGAAGAAAAGAAAATTTATCACAAATTTTATCTATAGTGAAATGAATTCCTATTAAGCATTACTTTATTTATAGCTATATGAAATGATTTTGTTAAAATAAATTTGTTTTAATACATGAATAATGAAATTTAAATTTACTCAAGTTTAAGAGCTTATAGCATGTAGTATGTAAGTCATTATTTCTTCAGTTTTTAAAAACAATTCATTATCATATTGCTAAGTCAATAAATAAATGCAAAAGGACTGACTATCTCAGTCTTGCCCAGATCTCCGGGGGAGGGGTGTGCGGAATTCTATGTATCACATTATCTCAAAAGTTAAAAATATTTATAAATGTTGCAATATTAAACAGATGAGGTGATCTCATGTTCATTTAAGCTCAATTCATTAAAGGTAAAATCTAGAATTTACTGATTTATAATGTTCTTTTTCATTAAAGAGCTTAATATACAAATAAATACCTCCTTAAATTCTAAAACCATTTTAGAAGAGAGAGTTTGTCAGAGGGGGAACAAATTAAATGAGAGAGAGAGAAAAAAAAAAAAAAAGAATGGGGGGGATAATAAAAAAGAGACTTTGAAATTAAATAATGGGCATATAAAAGAGTATCCAACATACTAGTTTGGTAGGACTGTAGGACATTTTTAAATCCTCTATATATACATGTGTAATACAACTTTTAATAATCATATTCTAAACTAGGCAAATAAGATTACTGTAAGTAATCTGCTAGTTCACAGGTAAGAAGTTACAGAGCATCAAGTAGAACCAAGTCTCCAGAGACTCCTAATTAACATTGTTAATTGTTCACAATGAGATATGTTATAGGGAGCATATTAATTTCTAGACCTATTTATTTTAATTCCTGTCTTACATAAAATGTGGACAACAGTTCTACTGTAACAATGTACCAAGGAAATTTAGAATTGTAAATCAGATCACGCCTAATTGTTCAGAGAAATCAGGTACAATTTAAAAGGAGTAATGACTTGAAAAAAGAAACCATTTAATAGAAACTAAAATTAAAATCCACAGTATTTGTCCTTTACTTCTTCAAACAACTCAAGATTTTTACCACTAGCAAAAATCTATACATTTAAGCAGACAAGTAAGTATGGATACAAATTTTTTAGCATGATTTTTTTCTTTCACATTTTGGGTACTAATAAATTAATGAACCTGTAAGAATGATGCAGAAAAATAAGTCTGCATCAACCCTCATTTGTATCTAGCATTTCTTCCATTTGATCCACTGCGAGCAAAAGAAAGAATAACGTTTAACAGTACAGTTTTAGATTGTATCTTCTATTCTTGATCAGAGGAATGTAAACACTAAAAGACAGGAATGGTTTGGTGAAAAATCACTGTATAAATTACATGCTTAGCCAAGTACACCCAAATAACTTTTTTTTTAAGTGTGAAGAAATGAGGTGACTAGGTTACAAATATAACATTCCAATAATTATTTAATATATTAATACCTACCAAGTCCTACCCTTGAACTAAAAGAATAAATTTTAAACACTCACTCTGTTCATTATCATTCCACTGATCTCAAGTACAGACATGTCTGCTTTCTTGCAGTCATTGCCTTCCCATACTATAGCACTTATTTTCTCTAATCCTGGGTGGGAATTATGGAGCCAGGGCAAATGACTCTATAAAAAATAAACAGAAATTGGTGAATACATTTATCACATTTTGTAAATGTAACACATCTACATGTACATATAAAATTGTGTCTTTGTGTATACATACACACATATACACGTGCATAGACACAATTTTAACTATGCTAAAATGTAGAAACTGATCAATCATTTTTTATGAATAGAACATGTATTTTCTATTTAATAAACAGAACATATATCTGTATCTATACACACACACAGTTTTAATGACACTAAAATTCTCTATTGACACTAGCTAGCATATACATTGACTATATGACATAAGAAATTGTGTAAGAATTTTCCATAAGTTATTAGGCAACTTATTGTTCAAAAATATACTAAAATGTATCAGCAAAAGGGCTTAGTTGTCAATCTGTCTACATAGCTACTAACATAGTAATATTAAAAGACAAAATGGAAATCAAGTTGTTCATATTACTGGTTTTCTAACTTAATCATTGAATAAAAAAGGATATGGCAGCTAACATTCGAACCTCCTTGAAAGACCTGATGGTGATACAATCTCATCCTGAAAGAGTCTCTTCTACACACATATCTACCCTTAATATTTTATTTAGTTACTTTACTGATATTTTAATTTAGCATTTCTCCAAAAGACAGCTTTTTTTCCCAGATAGAGCAAATATTGCAAACTGAAGCACACAGAATTACAAATCCTTTCACAAGGAGATAAACTCTCTTTCAATGTTTCAAATAGAAAAAAGTATAAAATACAAATACAAAGCTTTAGTACAAAGGATCAGATGCTTAAGTTTGTTTTCTTTTTAGATTTATAATTAAAAGAACAGAACTTCAAAACACCATAGTCAGGTTGGGTTAAAGATAGCAACAAATTAATGAAACGCCAATCTTTAGATTATAAGATATTCAGAGGAGAAGTAACACTAAAAGATTAGACCCAGAATGGGATGAATTTGTTTAAAATAAAATATTTCTAACTTACAATGTTTTAAAGATTGATATACTTTCCTCATTTTATGTAAAATGATTTGGCATTAATAGCAACCTCAGAAAAAAACAACAGATCTTTGACATTCTAGTATTCAAATTTTACACTGTATTTAATTAGAACATCTTCTAACGATGAACAGAAGAATCTACTCTAGTTATATTTATTCTTTCAGGACAAAAACGTGATTAAAATATGGTAAAGATTCCATAAGCTGAAGAAATACAGCATTTTCCTCTGGGGGGGGGGGTTAAGATGTATTGATTCATTTCCACTGAAACTATAAAATAATGAGGAAATAATATGTAAGAAAACAGAGATATAAATCATTAATATTACTCAGACCTCATACATTACTTTTCTTTATGTAAAGCCATATCATGTTTACTATAAACAGAATAAAAACTAATCAATAATTATAGACCAACCATAATACCAGTAGTCATGCTATTGGCAAAGCTCTTTTTTACATTTAATTACTTGGCTAGGAAGGAGTTCCATTTGAAGCTTTTGTATCTTTTCCAATGCCACGGAATTTTAATATATATTAACTTCATAGCATATATTTCACTATTTGAGGGTCTTAAGAGCTATGAGATACTAGTTATTAATGATCAACTTCATTCCTCAAATGATGCTTCTTAGTTTATCCCCAAACAAAATATTCTAGTTTGAGATAGAAATAATTTGCGACAAAATGGGTATCAAATTCTTTCCTGGAAATTTAATAATTCTGAAACATAGTAGAACCAAAAAGGTAGACATAAGAGATGTGATAAGCTGACTAAAAAGTGTGTTGAGCCTGAGAGACAACAGATTTCAACCACTGATCTATAGGCTTTTTTTTTTTTTTTTAACTTTCAGTCTGTAACAGTGAATTAAAGGTCTTCCCAATTATATGAAGAAAGGCATTTCAATACCAAGAAGATTAATCTAAAGACAGGAATAGGAAACCAAAAAGCTCTTCATTGTCCTTCCAAAAGAGCATAAAGTAAAAAATTTTGCTCAACTACTCTAATCGGGATTTGATGTCATTTTCTTATTTCTAGAAAGCCAAAGGCAAGACAGAAGATAGCAATTAGAAACTGGTGAATTGAAAGTTAACTGATTTTTAAAAGCCCTATATCTGTGTGTTTGTCAAGTGTACACTCAAAGACAGTCTTGTTGAAACATGTACCGTCTACATCTCAGTCAGTATGTGGAGAGCAACATCACATGAAACAATGTAAAGGCCCAGGGAGAACATCAGCACGAGTGATACCATTTTATCACATAGGTTCTTCTTGGTATGTTTTTCAAACTAAAATTTGGAACTCTTTAAATGCTTGTTCTTTAGCCTATTCAAAATCTGAACTGCTTTGCTCCTAGTTCATTCAAAACTGCCTGAAAACCTTAATGCTTAAATGGTGGCACATTTTACTTCAATTAAATTCACCATGACAATCACTTTACTGGTGTTTCCAACTGTGGGAACTGTAGCCATTAAAATCTGGCTTTACCTGCTAAAAATGAATTTCACTTGAATATGACCTGATATTTTATTATATGCTCAGCCATGATTAGGGGAGAAAAATTTTCTCCTGTGGAAATGTTTCAGTCACATTTTACAAAGAAAATCAAACGAACAAAATAAAACTACAAATTTGGTAACATTTTGACTAGAACACATTGATTCAAATGCTCTGTGTTTACTAGGAAAGATTTTTCTACCTTTATGGTACACAGAAAAGGGTCCTCTGGACCTAACATGGCCTTTGGTTAAACAAGAAAAAACTGGTAGTTTTTTATTAAAGAAAGCTAATTTCCATTACTTGCCTACTAGCAAAACTGAAAACATAAAACTTATTTTTTAGAAGCCTGAGAATAAAAAAAAGTGTGTAAAACTGAGTCTTTAATTCAAAAGCAAAACCAATGTGTGCTTAGAATACCATAATTAGATATGCAGAGAAGAATATTTTAAGAAAATAATTTTATTGAAAAAGGAGCAAGAATGGTGTGACAGACTTGTGTTGTTAGGTGCCATCAAGTTGGTTCCGACTCATAGTGACCCTATGCACAACAGAACGAAACACTGCCTAGTCCTGCCCCATCCTCACAATCATTGCCGTGTTTGAGCACATTGTTACAGCCACTGTGATAATCTATTTCATTGAGGGTCTTCCTCTTTTTCGCTGACCCTCTGTTTTACCAAGTATGATGTCCTTCTCTAGGGAGTGGTCCCTCCTGATAACGTGTCCAAAGTACGTGAGAAGAAGTCTCACCATCTTTGCTGATAAGGAGCATTCTGGTTGTACTTCTTCATTCTTCTGGCAGTCCACAGTATATTCAATATTCTTCACCAACACCATGATTCAAAGGCATCAATTCTTCTTTGGTCTTCCATGTTCATTATCCAGCTTTTACGTGCATATGAGGCGAGTGAAAACACCATGGCTTGGGTCAGGCGCATTGTAGTGCTCAAGGTGACATCTTTGCTTTTCAACACTTTAAAGAGGTCTTTTGCAGCAGATTTGCCCAACGCAATGTATCCTTTGATTTCTTGACTGCTGCTTCCATGGGCACTGAAAGTGGATCCAAGTAAAAAGAAATCCTTGACAACTTCAATATTTTCTCCATTTATCATGATGTTGCTTATTGGTCCAGTTGTGAAGATTTCTGTTGTCTTTATGTTGAGGTGTAAGCCATACCGAAGGATGGAGTCTTGATCTTCATCGGTAAGTGCCTCAAGTTTTCTTCGCATATCGCAAGTTGTTAATGAGTCTTCCTTCAATCTTGATGCCACGTTTCTTCTTCATATAGTCCAGCTTCTTGGATTATTTGCTCAGCATACAGATTGAATATGTATGGTGAAAGGATACAACCCTGATGCACAGCCTTCCTGATTTCGAACCACAGTATCCCCTCGTTCTGTT